CTGTTTGAGCTCTAGTCTAGTGGTCTAGTGGTAGTTGATGGTTTAGGGTTGCGCGATGATGGGGTGGCCGAGCGCATTATCCGGAAGGTGCGATCCGGATTTCTATCCGGATGACGATATGTTATCCGGACAGAAAGGCCATTGTTCGACATGGCCAACTCGCGCTATGAGTACGTGCGGCAGTTTGAGCTGCCGGACCCGGTCCTGCGCAACACGTGGATCGTCGTGCGCGTCGACGGCAAAGGCTTCCACAAGTACGAAGTGGCCTATTCTGTCTATGGATGTACAACTTGTCTATATTGGATATCGTAGGTTCACGGACGCCCACGGCTATGCCAAGCCCAACGATGTCCGTGGCCTGCACCTGATGAACAAGGTGACAGTTTTGCGGACCGACGCAAATTGACACGTGGCGTAGGCAGCCACCTGCGTGTGCCAAGAGTTTGGGGACATCCTCCTCGCGTACGGCCAGAGCGACGAGTACAGCTTCGTGCTCTCGGTAGACTGCTTCGCTTCCAAGCGTCTCTCACGTGCCATGGTGGTCGTAGAAGAGCAGCAGCTTGTACAGCCGCCGGTCGACCAAGCTCGCGTCGACCTTTGTCTCACTCTTCACGTCGTCGTTTGTGTTTTACTGGTCGGCCTTCTTTGGCGACGTGCCGCTGCAGTACCCGCCAGCGTTTGACTCGCGCGTCGTCTGCTACCCATCGGCCAAGGTACCTGGCCTATGTAGAAAGGACGTCGTCGATGGCGCGCGTATTAGAACTTGCGCGACTATCTGGCGTGGCGTCAAGTCGACTGCCACATCAACAACATGTACAACACGTGCTTTTGGCGGCTGGTGGAGAGCGGTACTAGAGATGCTTCTCGGCGGACTTGACTCGATTGATGTGCTCAGGCGAGTCCAAACAAGCAGCGGAAGCGACGCTGTGCAAGACGCTGGCCAAAGACAAGCAAGAGCTCCTCTTCTCTCGCTTCGACCTCAACTACAACGATGTCGACGCCATTTACAAGCGAGGCTCGTTGGTGCTGCGTGAGGCCAAGACGCTCGTGGTCGTCCACGACGACGTGGTCAAAGACGGCTTCTGGGCCGCGCGTCCGGGCTTCCTCACCGACTAGCGCTGCTTTGTCGACATGTCTCACTGAATATTCGCCAAATCCAATGTCGAGCATCCAACAACCGTGAACGATGCATTAGGTAGCTAGGCTCGACCGACGCAGTTGGCGTAAAAGACGGGCGTCGCCACCCAGTCGGCAAATATCGACTCGATGCCCACGTCCTGCGTCAGCACATGCAGCGTCTCGAGCATGTCGCCTTCGCGTGCAATGGCACTTTGGATCGTCTGGTAGTACCAGCCGCCGCGGGTCTCGGCGAGGACACCGGCGCGGTCCAAGCTCCACGCAACGATGCGGAGGCCGGCGGCTTTGGCGTGCTCTGCGTACGCCGACGGCACGATGCGGCCATCCATGTCGTTCGTCGCCAAGAGGGCCCAAATGGGCGGCGCCACAATGTTGATGCCGGACGCCTTGTAGTCCAAAAGTTGGTCGCGTGACGGCAGCTCGTCGACCGTTTTGGCGTTTTCGAGGTACACCGCGTTGACGCCGAACGCCGGGTGCGCGGCCAGCCAGTAGACAATGTCGTCGTACGCGAACGCTTGAGGAAAGACGTGCGACGGCGGAATGGCGGCGTCAATGTACTCCTGGACAATTTTGTCGGCAAAGGCGTGGCGCGAAAAGCCGTGGAAGGGCATGTCGACGATCGGCTCTTTGAGCTCGGGCGTCATCTGCACACCGTGGGCGGTAAAGAGCGCGATGCTCTCGGCATGCGTCATGAGCGTTCCGCTGGTCGGACCTGCGTACAGATCCGTGCGCCACGTCGGCGTGCCGGCCACGTACTCTTCGGCCGTCGTTGCCTTGGGATTGAAGCCATCCATTTTGCCGCGGAGCGTCTTGAACTCGGCGAGGGTGATGTCGGTCGTTCGACACTCGGCCGTCGCGTTCTCGCCGCTCGCGGCGTTGTACGGTGTGAACGGGCCATGGCACTTGGCGGCGAGCGGCGTGAGCAAGATGTTGGTCGTCGTGTGCAGATCGTTCATGCTATGGCGACACACGAGCCCATGGTCGCGCGTGAACGCCACGTCGCACTCGACGCGGCCCGCGCCCATGCGGATCGCCGCGAGGTACGACTCGCGCGTGTGCTCTGGGAACTGCAGGCACGCGCCGCGGTGGCCAATGGCGAACGGCGTCCGATGCACGTCCATGGGGCCGTCGGCGCAGGCTCGCAGTGTCGCTCGCAGCGGCGAATCGGCCATGTCCTCGAGAAGAAAGTACGGCCGAACCCCGAGCTCGACGCGGGCAGGCGCGGGTCCACGCACGTGATGCAGAGCCGCCAGCTGCTGCCACGGCGACGCGACCGCCGACCAGACGGTGCCCCCTCGCGCCCAAGGTAGCGA